TTAGGGACCAGAGAGGTGGCTCTAGAGACCAGAGAGGTGGCTCTAGGGACCAGAGAGGTGGCTCCATGCAGAGTGTAGCCTTCCCCGCCATCTGCCATCTCCCATCAGCTCCATAAAGTGCTTGCTATGCATAAATGAGGACCTGAGTCAGATCTCCCATATAAAAAAAAGACCAGCATGGCAGTATGCTTTTGAGACCCCAGTACTGGAGCTGGGCAGAGACAGGAGGAGCTTAGGGCTTGCTAGCCATTCATTCTAGCTGAATGAGAGACCCTGTTTCAAATAAAAGGGGGTAAAATGAAGGGTAACTGAGAAAGACACCTAATGTTGACCTCAAGCATGCACTCAGAGAGAGAGAGAGAGAGAGAGAGAGAGAGAGAGAGAGAGAGAGAGAGAGAGAGAGAGAGAGAGAGAGAGAGATTACTTTAGAACTGATGTTAAAATTCTGCCTCTAAACACTCAGGAGATTGTGCCTCTGTGGACTATAGTACATATGGTTTGTGTGGCCCTAGGTTCAGTTCTGAGCTGAGTAGACTCACCCATGACCTAGCCCCCACCGTATCTTCCACCTACATCCTCAACATACATCCTCTGCTCTGAGGTCATGTCGTTAAACACAATGTCAGTTTTATGGCAAGAACAAAGAAAGCCCTTTTTATTGCCCCTCCTTTTCTCTGTCTGGATCTCTGGTTTATTCTCCACACGGGGGATGCTATCATACCCTTGAGTTATGTCCACTTCACGCTCGCCAGAGCAGATAATTCTTATATCTCATAACCTGTTTATTTCATTTGGATCAGCATGGCTTCATAGGCATTGTCTCGAAGCCATAAGCAATTATTTCTACATCTTTCCCTTTTATGACTTAGCATTAAGGGATTCAAAACAATTCTTTGACCTGTGAAACTGGAAGGCATATTCTCGAGCTGGGAATTCGGATGGGGGTGAGGTATGTTTCACATTAGAGAAGGGGAGTCATCTGAGGACTTCCAGTTATGGTTATTGAATTATGCATTTCCTGAGCCATTTCAACAGGAAACCTTGCCCTGTAATGTACATCTGAGGTTGATGGAAGACCCAAGCCCCAAAGTTCCCCAGGGGTCAAAGAACTATACCGATCGACTTTCTATAAAGTACCAAAAGCCAATGAATCAGTCCCTCTGATCTTATTACAGGCAACAAATTTAGGGTCTGTACTTCCTTATATAAAAATCTAGTTGCAGAACCTCATAAATCTTTAAAGAAGTCGTACATTAAGCCTTTTAAAAAATATGGTATTTATATGGCTGTAGGTCCCATTTTGAAGCACAAATCAATAAAGACTAAGACTGCAGTGAGCTTTTGCGTACGTCAAAAAGGAGAAAGCAACATGTTTAAAGAGAAAATATGAGCTTCATCACTGCTAATTTTAGACAAAATTAGGAAGTAATGATTGCCATGCTAGCCTCCCACCCGATCCATTCCACACAGAGTTAAGATAAATGCAAAACCCAAACAATCAGACACCTAAAGACAAAAGCATCATGTGCTGTAAGGTGTGTAGTTAATCATTGTTGCCCCCAAAGCTACTTTATTATGGTAACTGAGAAAAACAGAGCACAATTATGCGATTTAAAAGGTTTCAATCAGAATGATGAATAGTGGTCTTTGGGAAGCTTATTAACATGTTTACAAACTGATTGTTTGCTGTTGTTGATTCCTCAGGAGAAGCTTTGGAATGCCAGCACACATCCAAGGACTGTGTGTCTGGGACTCTCTGCTGAGCAGAACCCATGTATGTTCCATGAAAATGTCCCATTGAATTAGCTTTCACAAGGCTGTGAGAAGCAGTGAAAACCTGAGGAGAATGTCCCTGGGGCGATCTCACAAGTCCCCTTGTTTACAGAACAGGCAACCAGATCTAGACAGGGAGTGAGGGACTGGGTGACAGAGAGTTCAATATTCTCAGGACCACCCCCACAGATAGCCCGTCTCTACCACCTTCCTGAGGATGTGCTTGGCACCAGTTTGTCACAGTGACAGCAACGTGCTGAGCTTCAGTAACTGACATGCTGAGACACAAAACACAAAGAAACATGAAACAAACGTCAAAGAAGCCTTTCAAGCCAAAGGTATACATGTGTTCCGTGGAGAATTGCAGAGTTCAGAAAAAGGGTGTCTTCAAAGACTGCAGACCCAGCCCTGCTCCATCCCCACCCCTCTGCTCTTCTTATTTCCTGGCTCTCCCAGTATCTCTGAAACAGATGACAGAGTGACACACTCACATATTTTACTTTAAACACATCATGAAAACTTCATGAAAGGATTCTTTAAGTTTCCTTTTAATGGGTATTTTGTTCGGTGCCGGGATTGCCAAAGACTGTTTTTAACTAAAAGCATCCCAAACATGTGACTGTTAGGCCTCATGAAGCAACAAACTTGTTTGGGTGGAGAGGCGCAGAAGCACTCCAGGGAGATGATGAGCACTCATCGAAAGGGACTTCATACACAAGCAACAGACACATGGCTGGGCTTCCAGGTCCACAGTCTTCATTTCACACAAAGAGCACCTGGATCTTGGAAAGCACAAGGTTATGAAGTAATGCCCCATTGTAGATATGACAAGCTACCACAAGTTCAGTAATGCAAAACATTATTTCCCTTGTTGGGCTCAGCAATCTGAAACCAAAGTATCAGTAAGACTGGCTCTTCATGTGGGCTCCAATGCCCTACTCACTGTCTCCTCCTCCATCTTCACAATGCAGCTCTCTGGCCTGAAATACCTACCATTTCAATCATCCTTTCTTCTGCTTTGCCATCAACCTGCTGTCTCCTTCTTGGGAGTGTCCTGTAATGGCATTGGTCTTCAAGAGATCACACATTCACAATTTGGAGGGTTAAATGACAGACATCTTTGGGGAACCATTATCTGGTCCACCTCAGGTGCAAATGTCTGCTTCTAGGGATTTAAAGCTAAAATGAGATTCTTGTTCTCCATGGAGACAATCAACATGCAATCCAGACAGGTAAACTGATGCATGTCAGAAGCCAGTGTGTAACGATCTTAAACAAGTGCTTGAGACACTGGGAAAGCGAGGGAGACATTTTGCAAGCAGGGACCAAGGTCAAATGGAACACACTGTGATGATATCTTGCTTGTACAAGAATGGATCTTGCCACTGGCTAATCATAGAGGTCTGGAGGTCTGTACAGACAGACAGGAAGTGAGGTAGCTGGGCAGAAACAAGATATAAGCAGGGAGATACAGGAACTCACTCTCTTGTCTGTTGAATCACTGACGTAAGGTGTGGCTGTGGCTTGCTCCTTCTTCTCTCTGATCTCTTGGCATTTTCCTTTATATCTGACTTCAGGTGTCTATTACTTAGACCAATTAAGAACTTCATTTACAACACACTTCTAGGTACGTTACACCAACAGCACCCTCACTCATAATGCAGCTGTGTCGGTGCTCTGGGTCCAAGAGAAGCACATTTCTTTTTCAGACAGTGAGAATGCCAGATTCAGTTAATCCCAGCAAAATACAGAAAGAGGCACCACTCCTGGGTACTCCTTGTCAGGAGTCTAGAAACAACCTCCAAAGTCATAACCCTACATGCAAATATGAACCTGGAGTCCCAAGCCTTCATCTGCACGTATCTACTAGGTAGTGGAAAGAACACGTTAATGGGATCCAGTGGACCTGAAAGTCAGAACAATGTGTTTTCATTTCCAAAATGGCCTCACTTCAGCTCACCTAATTAACAATGACGATGCTGAAAATCCAGTCCAGAGACCTTCCAACATTTCTTATTACAAGGTCTGTTCCAATGCAAATAGAATTCACCATTAACTACCCAGGCTGCAGGTAAAATATACTCAGTGGTATATCAGTGGGAAATTTAGATGGAGATATGAGAAAATGAAGGTGATATTCTAGCAAGTTGTTGGACACAAGACCAAACACCACAATTGGAGACACCCCCACACACACCTCAGAGGCACACCTCCTCTGAGTCTTGGAAGTGAGTTGGGATCCAGGAGGCATGGCTGAGTCCATGACAAGACTTGCAAACTCCTATATAGCCAGGCCCACATGAAAGATGGAAAACTCAATTTTGTCTATACCTCACCTCAAGGGGCTTCCCACATTTCCAAGCATGGCCTGAAGCTACATTCTTTTAGAATACCACACCATAATAGACACACGGGCCAACTATCTCTTTACACATATTGTTCCAGAAGCCATGCTATTTCAGGACTTACTCTGCATGTTGTCATGAATGAACTCTTGGAAAAATTCAACACAAGTTCCAGGTAACCAGGAGCACACATTGTGAAGAGAAGCCACAGTTCCTAACTCAGTAAGGAGGGCAACACAGATGCAAGACAGAGCTTCCTGTACTGAAATTCCAAGAAAAGCCTGGTGGGTTATTTTACATAAATAGTAGTCAATTTACTGCAGTTTGTAAGCACTTAGCTTCCAAGTCTGTGGGCTCACTAAAGTGTGCAAGCTGAGACACATTGAAGGGAATATCCAGGCGAGCAGCAAAGTCGTGCTTTTTGGTTTCTCTTCATTAAGTAAATTGTGGTTGAGAACTTGTTTTAGAAAGTGGTTTTGTGAAGCTATTATTCTTGTCTCAGGCTCCACAAGTTCAGAAGATGCCTTGAAATGTCTCTTCATTAAATACTGTCACCACATGCAGTATGAGCAAAATAAATCCATCCTTGTCCAAAACTGAACTCGTGAAGCATAAATTAAGTGTTGGAAGAGGGATACTCCAGAGAAGAAACACTCTGCTGCCAGCCCCATCTACCCCTGTGTGACTGGAGGGCCACCCTAAGAGCCATCCTGCCAGCTTCTCATGGGAAAAACATTCACAAACATGTAAAGGGATGGACCCAGGCTATTGAAAACAGAGTCATCAATGATCACCAAGGAGACAAGGGGGAGGGGCAGTAAAAATGAGGGGTGGTAAGTAGCTGGTCCAGTTTCTGATAGACATTTTCACCCATGCACTCTGGTGAGGACAGTGCTGGCCTGACACCCAGGAAGGAAATCTAAGCCAGTAGAAGGGTTCTACTTGAAGCTGGAGGTACCAGCAGCCACATTCATGCCCACCTTCTCAGGTGAGAAAGGTAAGAGATTCATCTGTATGTAGGGAATATAAAGCGATGATGGGTGATGATCAGGGCATAGCCCAACAGCTCCCCCCCCCACCCACCCACACACATGCACACACAGCGGTGTGTTCTCAGACTTTGGATCATTCACATCCACTCTTTGTGATACATAGACCTTTATTCAGGGTCTCTAATTATCATACAAGCTCCAGCTACTCCACTGACCATATGTGTAGCATTACCCCTCCCCCAGACTTCTATGTCCCATACAGAAGGCAGTTACACTCCTGCTGATGACAGAAGGGCTAAAAATGGGAGGTAGCCCTCACAGGTACCTCCCGAGTTGGCCTGTCTACTCAATCCCAAACAGTCACAGCTGAGGCCCCTATGGGTTGTCATGCAGACCTTCCAGAGGCGTTCACATATCAACCTGGTAGTATGTTCCACAGCCTGTCTTGATTATAAACACTGCAGGCAGAAGAATTGCAGAAGACCTCCATTCAACATGACATAGAGGCGAGTGTTGGTAGCCTCAGTCATCCAGAGGACACCGTAGCCTTTAACTCTAATCCCATCACTCGTTTGAGGTAGATCATATGGGCTTTCTAAATGGTGATAATTACAGGCATTACAAATCCAATTAGGAAAGATGCTTCTGGCTTTATTTGTATTGTACTCTGTATCTCTATTCATCTAACATCTAGGGATTAACGAGAAAAAGAACATAAAATTTTCAGGCTTCCAGACAGGTGAGTGTCCTTCCAGCTGTGCAAGCACTAACCCATCTACAAATGCAGATGTCTCCATCCATGGGGATGCTCTGGTGACTGACACCACACATGGGACTGAGATGTCTCTGCTATGATCTCTTATGCTAACAACAAGCTAGCTTATACAAGTAGCTGTGCTAAAATGCATGTAGGGGATAAGGAGATGGCTCAGTGGTTAAGAGTACAAACTGTGGCCGGGTGTTGGTGGCACACATCTTTAATCCTAGAACTTGGGAGGCAGAGGCAGTCGAAACTCTGTGAGTTCAAGACCAGCCTGGTCTACAGAGTGAGTTCCAGGACAACCTTCAAAGCAATACAGAGAAACCCTGTCTCAAAAAAAAGTACAAACTGCTCTTGCAGGGACCCCAAGTTATTGGTTGACCCAAATAACATTTGTAACTCTTACTCCACGGAATCTAGTACTATGGTCTCCATATCACACACACACACACACACACACACACACACACACACACACACACACACACACAGACACACTTCAAAAATAAATCTTAAAACTCATATGAATGTGCTCTCTTTCTCCCTCTCTTCTTCCCTCCCTCCCTTAACATGTTCACCCCAAAACTGTCCACAGGTAACTGAAACCATATGACCACAGGAACTTCGGGTAAGGAGAGACATTGCCCTCCTACAGCAAACAGCATGGGATAAGGGGTTCTCAGGGCTAGATCAAAGGTGACTGTGTTGCCTATAAGCTAGGGCCAGGGCAGACCCCTGGGGTTGAGTAAAATGAAGTCATTCCTACACAAAGGGGTATTAAGAAACCTCATGAGGCTGGACTTCAAAGGAATATGGGGTGGTTGAGTTGGTTGGGATAAACAGGTGGGTTCCAGGGATAGAAAACTCTCTAGTGGCCAGGGGTCCCTGCATGGATATGATGGGGACCCTCAGACTCTCACATAATGTGAGGGAGATGGGAAAATACAAGAGCCAAGGGACCTCAGAGTCAGCCCAGAACATGCTAGACACCATATTCTCTTCACAAAGGAGATTTATTTATCAGCTTCATAACCTTAGAAGACACCATAAGAACAATGGGGGCTGGCACGCGTCCTCCTCTGCAAGTCAATTCAAAAATTCCTAGTTATCTCCAACAGTGTGAGTGCCTGTCCAATTACCTCCTCATTCTGCCTGTGTCCCAGTGGGAACACCACTCCAGAAGAGTGAGTTGGGGCTCCTGATACTTAGCTACTGGTACTTCTCTATTGTGGAAGCCCTGAAGTCATTAAGGTTTCCAGTCTACCTTGAAATCTAAGATGCAAAATCCTGAGAGCTCCTCGAAGGAGCAGGGATGGGGGGAGGGAGATGGCTGGGGCTGCAGTACAGGGCAGAGATATGATATCACACCTAGGAAGAAAACAGCAGAGCTGTTCTGTAGACAGGCGAGTGATACCAGGTCAATATCAGACCTGAGGGTTGAATTCAAAGGAGGGAAGGAAGAAAGCCAAGGTGTATCTCCACAGGGATGATGGGACGGGACAGGCACTGTCAGAAAATGGCTGATGAGTTGGCAGAGGGGCGTCAGGGAGGGCTGGAGTTTGGTGGAGTAAGGAGGAAGTCTAGGGCATTTGGTTTGGGGCATGTCACATGTGCTTCAAGTTCAGGGCTTGAGGACAACTGCCAGCTGCCAGGACGGACAGCAGAAGGGCTGTGGGAGTTGATGTTGAAAAGAATACTTTACATTGGTATGGATTTTGGTTTTTTGATACGAATTTAAGGTCAATTTTCTTAAATTGTGTATATTTCTACTCTTACTTAAGGTGTTTATGCAGCTCATTTAAAAATAATAATGTATATTTAAGAACTACAGATTAATAGGCAGTCATCTATAGTAGTCAAAATTATAGTCATGTTAGGTTTTCCAGATATACAGGTATATTTCATATTGATAGATAATCTTCAAATACTTCAAAGACCTACAGAATATGGCATTTAAAATGGTTTAAAAACTTAACTTAGACTTTTCTTGACAGTGAGACATGTCTGCTCCCGGCAGCACAAATTACTTCAGTGAGGATGATAAGCATCAAAGAAACTCATTATAGAGTTTGTCTTCAGTGTGGCAGGGCTAGCCATTTGGGTAAGACTTGCTTGGACTACTTGATGTTGTGCTGTGTGAGCTGGACATAAAGGACCCACAGGAGAGTGGCTTCTAAACTTGCCAAGATAAAACGGGATGGTCCTTCAGGGTTCCTGCTCCACAGAGGAAACTGCCAGACATTCTGCAGGACACAGAAGAAAGCAAGTGATGAACTTTGCCAGTATAAGACAAAACAAATCTTCAAATTCCCTGCTTCACTGAGAAGTCTGTCAGATACTCTAGGCCAATAGGCTAAAGAAGGAACTTTGTGTGACTGCCCAGGCAGCAAAATGTCTGTCATTTCTAGAATTTTGGAACTTGTTTGCAATGCATTCATGTTTACTTGGGTAATATTATATCCTTCTGGGGTTTTTGATGGAATTGAAGACTAGATACTTATAGTTATCTTTAGTTATGATAACAGACAAACATAAAGCTTTAGACTTACAAAGATAAGACTAGATGATAGCTTTTTAACTTTGCCAAATAAAAACAAACTAAATATTGTAACTAATTCTTGCTTGATAACTGTTTTATTATATATAAATTTTACTATGTTAAAGGTAACATAGTTCATTTTTAATTAGATAGAAAGGGGGAAGTGATACAGATGTCCTTCTGTATGCTGCAAATATGTGTTGCTTTGATTGGTTGGTGAATAAAACTGTTTCAGCAAATGGCCAAACAGAATATAGCTAGGTGGAAAATTCAAACAAAGATTCAGAGAGAAGGAAATTGGGGGGTGGGAGCAGGATACAACATGGGATGGGACACACAATGTATAGCTGTCGAAGGACTAACATGCCGGAGAATTACCAGTAAGCCACAGCATCATGGCAATACACAGATAAATAGAAATGGGTTCATTTATAAAAGAGAGGTAGGCAGTAAAATATCTGAGACATTGGCCAAACGATTAGATTTAATATAAGCCTTCTGAGTGTTATTTCAACAAGCTGCTGCAGGACTGATGGGTGGGACAGAAAGAATCCAACTACAGGGAGCCTAAAGTTCAGCCCTGCATCTCAGCCCTCCATCCTCACCTGTGTCCTCATGTTCCATGCAGAGACAGGATGCTGCTGTGCTCTGTCTAAGCTGGGGGTTAGAGATGGTCAGTACTAAGACTGTGAGCCAGTGTCCTTGCTGCTGTGAGCATAGAGGAAAGTAGGAGAGTCAAGCAAGGAAGAGACTACAGCAAGGCCAGCACTAGGAAAATCCCAGTAGATGGGTAACACAAACCCAGAGGAGTCGTATTTGCTCTTACACATGGAGCACAGGAGGGTGGCAGCAGGAGACAGAGTGCCTCCTCCAAGACAAATTGGTGACCCACGGCTGACAAAGGGTGCAGGGTGGCTGTGGTGGGACTGGGGAGGTGTCACTGCGTCTACTACGTCGGGTTAGGGAAATACAGTTGAATCCTCCCGTGTTTCCCTTGCTGATGCCCCAGGCCTGGCTCCTGCTGAGAACACCAACCCATGGCTTCCTTCTCTGTGACCATCTGCTGCTTTTGCATAGCCAAACTTCTGCTACTAAGCTGCCATGAATAGAGCCAACACACAGGTCTTGTTGCTCATTTTCAAACCTGGCACAACATCAACAAAAGCAGACTGGAAGAGACAGCTTGGCACGGCCAGGCAGCATAAGAGCCCCTGTGTTTGGTGAGACCATGGCCCTGCCTGGATGTATGCCTGGGTCTGGGGGCTGCCCTGGAGGAGCCTCACCTCAGCTATGGCTACCTGGATAATACCCCTCACGTCACTGTGTTGATAGCCCACTGAGGCATATGGGGAAACACCAGTGGCCCTTGAATGTTAGAAACAGGCGCTGACACCTGGATGTCACTACAAAGTACCAAGACTGTGCTTCATGTTTGACAGAAAACATCTGATCTCACTTAACCATCCAGCCAAGCCTAAAACACCTGCCTCATAAAAGAGCTGCCCTTCTCACTCACAGACGACAAGGTGGGAACACAGAGAAGTGCGGGAACCAGAGCCAGTGTCATCTTTTGGCTAGATCATACATAGAACACCTGGCTGTGACCTTGAGGTCATGAGGTTTCAACTTCCAGTCTCCATCTCTAAGCTCCAGCCCTGGGATCCTGCCTCTGCTCAGCAGGGGATCTCTTCCACATGTTCTGCATC